TGTGATGTCTGCCCGGTGATGAGGTAAGTGGCCCCTGGTGTGATGTTTGCCCGGTGATGAGGTAAGTGGCCCCTGGTGGGATGTCTGCCTGGTGATGAGGTAAGTGGCCCTTGGTGTGATGTCTGCCCGGTGATGAGGTAAGCGCCTTGGTGTGATGTCTGCCCGTGATGAGGTGGGCTAATCTCGGCCGGGTGATGAGGTAAGTGGCCCTGGTGTGTGATGTCTGCCTGGCAGATGCAGGCAAGCGGCCCTTGGTGGCATGTCTGCCCGGGTGATGAGGTAAGTGCGGTCTTGGTGTGATGTCTGCCTGGTGATGTGAGGTAAGTGACCCCTGCCTGGTGATAAGGTAAGTGGCCCCTGGTGTGATGTTTGCCCGTTGATGAGGTAAGTGGCCCCTGGTGTGATGTTTGCCCGGTGATGAGGTAAGTGGCCCCTGGTGTGATGTCTGCCCGGTGATAAGGTAAGTGGCCCCTGGTGGGATGTCTGCCCGGTGGTGAGGTAAGTGGCCCCTGGTGTGATGTCTGCCCGGTGGTGAGGTAAGTGGCCCCTGGTGTGATGTCTGCCTGGTGATACGGTAAGTGGCCCCCCTTGGTGTGATGTTTGCCCGGTGATAAGGTAAGTGGCCCCTGGTGTGATGTCTGCCAGGTGATGAGGTAAGTGGCCCCTGGTGTGATGTCTGCCCGGTGATGAGGTAAGTGGCCCTGGTGTGATGTCTGCCCGGTGATGAGGTAAGTGGCCCTGGTGTGATGTGCCCGGTGATGAGGTAAGTGGCCCCTGGTGTGATGTCTGCCCGGTGATGAGGTAAGTGGCCCCTGGTGGTGTGATGTCTGCCCGGTGTGATGAGAGGTAAGTGGCCCCTGGTGTGATGTGATGTCCCCTGCCCGGTGATGAGGTAAGTGGCCCTGGTGTGATGTCTGCCCGGTGATGAGGTAAGTGGCCCTTGGTGTGATGTCTGCCCGGTGATGAGGTAAGTGGCCCTTGGTGTGATGTCTGCCCGGTGATGAGGTAAGTGGCTGCAGTTGGGAGTAAATTTTGCGTTTTAAGATCAATGGCCGTAACGCACCCCAGCAATCCAAAGGTTAGGTACGCACCCCAGGAACCCAAGGGTTAATCAATGGCCATAACGCACCCCAGGAACCCAAGGGTTAATCAATGGCCATAACGCAACCCAGCAATCCAAGGGTTAATCAATGGCCTTAACGCACCCCAGGAATCCAAGGGTTAATCAATGGCCATAACGCACCCCAACCAACCCCATCCCAAGGAATCCACCCCAGGAATCCAAGGCCCGTAACGCAGCCCCATAACGCACCCCAAACGCACCCCAGGAATCCAAGGGTTAATCAATGGCCGTAACGCACCCCAGTAATCCAAAGGTTAATCAATGGCATTAACGCACCCCAGGAATCCAAGGGTTAATCAATGGCCGTAACGCACCCCAGGAATCCAAGGGTTAATCAATGGCCGTAACGCACCCCAGGAATCCAAGGTTAATCAATGGCCGTAACGCACCCCAGCAATCCAAGGTTAATTATGGCCATAACGCACCCCAAACGCACCCCAGGAATCCAAGGGTTAATCAATGGCCGTAACGCACCCCAGTAATCCAAAGGTTAATCAATGGCATTAACGCACCCCAGGAATCCAAAGGTTAATCAATGGCCGTAACGCACCCAAGGGTTAATCAATGGCCGTAACGCACCCCAGGAATCCAAATTAATCAATGGCCGTAACGCACCCCAGGAATCCAAGGGTTAATCAATGGCCTTGCACCCCAGGGAATCCAAGGGTTAATCAATGGCCGTAACGCACCCCAGGAATCCAAGGGTTAATCAATGGCCATAACGCACCCCAGGAATCCAAGGGTTAATCAATGGCCGTAACGCACCCCAGCAATCCAAAGGTTAATTAATGGCCATAACGCACCCCAAACGCACCCCAGGAATCCAAGGGTTAATCAATGGCCGTAACGCACCCCAGTAATCCAAAGGTTAATCAATGGCATTAACGCACCCCAGGAATCCAAGGGTTAATCAATGGCCGTAAAGCACCCCAGGAATCCAAGGGTTAATCAATGGCCGTAACGCACCCCAGGAATCCAAGGAATCAATGGCCGTAATCAATTAATCAATGGCCGTAACGCACCCCAGGAATCCAAGGGTTAATCAATGGCCTTAATGCACCCCAGGAATCCAAGGGTTAATCAATGGCCATAACGCAACCCAAGTGGCCCCTGGTGTGATGTTTGCCCGGTGATGAGGTAAGTGGCCCTTGGTGTGATGGTTGCCCGGTGATGAGGTAAGTGGTCCCTGGTGTGATGTCTGCCCGGTGATGAGGTAAGTGGCTGCAGTTGGGAGTAAATTTTGCGTTTTAAGACGTCAATGGCCGTAACGCAATGGCCCCAGGAATCCAAGGGTTAATCATTGGCCGTAACGCACCCCAGCAATCCAAAGGTTAATTCATGGCCATAACGCACCCCAAACGCACCCCAGGAATCCAAGGGTTAATCAATGGCCGTAACGCACCCCAGTAATCCAAAGGTTAATCAATGGCATTCCAACGCACCCCAGGAATCCAAAGCACCCCGGGAATCCAAAGGTTAATCAATGGCCGTAACGCACCCCGGGAATCCAAAGGTTAATCAATGGCCGTAACGCACCCCAGGAATCAATGGCCGTAACGCACCCCGGGAATCCAAAGGTTAATCAATGGCCGTAACGCACCCCGGGAATCCAAAGGTTAATCAATGGCCGTAACGCACCCCGGGAATCCAAAGGTTAATCAATGGTCGTAACGCACCCCAGGAATCCAAAGGTTAATCATTGGTCGTAACGCACCCCAGCAATCCAAAGGTTAATTAACGGCCATAACGCACCCCAAACGCACCCCAGGAATCCAAGGGTTAATCAATGGCCGTAACGCACCCCAGTAATCCAAAGGTTAATCAATGGCATTAACGCACCCCAGGAATCCAAGGGTTAGCCGTTCCAAGCAATGGCCGTAACGCACCCCAGGAATTTAATCAATAACGCTTTAATCAATGGCCGTAACGCACCCCAGGAATCCAAAGGTTAATCCGTTGGTGGCCGTAACGCACCCCGGGAATCCAAAGGTTAATCAATGGCCGTAACGCACCCCGGGAATCCAAAGGTTAATCAATGGCCGTAACACAGCCCAAGAAAAGGCGTAACATTGAGCTGTGCTGGTTACGTTGCTGTTTTAATATAAAACAATTAAGCCCAATTATTTCCTTTGGCAGCTTTTAGATGTAAGTTGCAGCTGAAGTCGTTTAAAGGGGTTAACGCCAACCTTAATTAAATATTAAAGCGCCTCGGTACCTCCTGCTATTGTTACCCCTTTAGAATGAGATATAACCTATTTTTTGACAAGTTTTCATCTTTCTCTGCGGAAGACGCAACATGAAACCAAATCAGTGGCAAAGAGTATAGTAATGAATAATCTATTTCATATTCCTTCACTAGTCTCTGCTCCAAGTGGAAAAATATTCAACAGACAGTCGAGATACCACATGACGCAGCTAATGTTTAAATAATAGTAAAAAAATATATATATATATGGGGGGAATAGACATAAACAAATCATTAGCCCTTAACAGTTGTTTAATGCAATTTGCTAATGAACATAATGGTGGGACTAATAATGAAAGAAAATAAAAATGTCTAAACAGGCGCCAAGTAACCAGCAATGCTCAATTATTTCCTTGTCAAGTTTTTATGATTTAATGAGCCCCTCTGGGACTGATGCCTGTCAGTCAGACCTGACTCCCTGACACCATTACAACTTCAAATACAGCAGCAGGCAGGCTGTTTTCCTAGGATTGGAAATACTGAAATGATCTGACAGGTTTAAAGAAAAGAACTGCACACAAAAAAAAAAGAAAAAAAAAAGAGAAAAAGGGAGAAAGGAAGAAAAAGACGATAGACAGACATACAGC